AATGCTGCGATTGGCTCATAAAGGAATTCTCAGGTTAACAAATAAAATTAGCCACACAATTGGAATCACCAGATTCCATGGTCATTATGCCTTCCCCAAACTTTAGTGATGTATTAGGGACATCTATTACGTTGTCTAGATATGCTTTTGGCCGCACGATTGCCAATGATATAGGCTACAATTTCCAGACATATATGCTTATATTTCCAACGCTATATTACCCTATTTGCCAACGATGTGTGTTACTATAGCCAAAATATACGCTACTATTGCAAACTGTGAGTGCTATTGAAAGATGATAATGTAATGTAATATAATGTAATGTGGCATAAAGATTACCCCCTTTAAAAGTAATATACTTTACAAATAAAATAACTGAAAAATTGAACTTAAAAATTCCTTGTACAAATTACAAATTACAAAATATGGATAATTCATATGTTTTTTTTAATTTGCAAACCATTCTAATTGGTTTCTCAAAATCAAGTTATGAAGTTAGAAATTGTGGTTGTAATGTTGAACAATTATACAATATTATACATTTCATTAAAGGAATGTAAATATTTTATCCTTGATCAGCGTAAACTAGTTTCTCAAATCATATTTTTTCAACAGCTTTCTTCTTCTTTTATTCAAAGATTAATCAAGGACATCTGTTTCTGTCTTGTCGCAGAGTTAAAAAAACCAAAATCTCTTATCACACTCGTTTCAGAATGTTGGAAAATTTTTCGCTCTCACGAAACAGTTCACCTTGAATGCCACCTATGAGGATGGTTGGCCAGCAGGCGATGGATCTTACGTCCGGGACGTGCCATCCTGCGGATTACTTGGAGAGCTCTGCAGGGATAAAGCTTTAGGTAGGTGAAAGTTAAGTCTGTTGTAGATTCCGTAGAGTACCTCGAAACTGATTTAAAAAAAAAAATAAAAAAAAATAAATTTTCTTTGATCGTCCTGGGCGGGTTGGGGGGGGGGATTGTATAAAATATGCCATTTGTCACCGAGAGTTGCAGACTATGATATGTCAGCGTCTCTTAAGTTCAGGTTTGTGGGGGGGGGGGGTTTTCTTCCCCTCGTTGACTTTGATCGTCCTGGGCGGGTTGGGGGGGGGATTGTATAAAATATGCCATTTGTCACCGAGAGTTGCAGACTATGATATGTCAGCGTCTCTTAAGTTCAGGTTTGTGGGGGGGGGGGTGTCTCTTACCCTCGTTGGCCTATGGATAATGATCTTTCTTCGATCTGATTTTATTGAAAACATATTTTCTCCTCAATGTTAGTGTTAGCTTTGATTTAAAAAAAGAAGCATGCTTCAACATTTCGAATTTTGAGACGGACTGTTGTCATTTGACCAATAACTTTTAGAGAGGCAATAATCTCTAGCTGTTTATACTCTAAATTCTAAACTCATTGCAGTAAAAAAAAATATATCACTAAAATGGATTTTTCTCTGTACGCTCTCAAACCTCTTAATATCTAAAATATCTCATCCCTCATGTGTACTTACTATTTTAAAATATGTGCTGAATGTTTTACTTGTCGAATCACTATGTTTTTTTGTTGTTTATTTAAGATTTTTTAAATTTCTGCATATAATATATTATGTTGCGTATCTAAATGGTAATGTAGAAAAAATATCTTTTGTTATATCTTTTGTGTGGTTTATCTCAATGGTGATCTATAAACACCCCCCCCCCCCTTTCCCCACTATTTTTTTGGGTCATTTCCCTATAAATATTATGTTGCGTATCTAAATGGTAATGTAGAAAAAATATCTTTTGTTATATCTTTTGTGTGGTTTATCTCAATGGTGATCTATAAACACCCCCCCCCCCTTTCCCCACTATTTTTTTGGGTCATTTCCCTATAAAATAGAGGCCAACTCTCGACTGGCTATAGGACTCTCTACGAGCATGCTGGCCCTTCTGGTAGTTGTCGCAGCTGGAGTTATCACAACATTGAGGTAGTACATCCTTGCAGTGTTTTCCAAATCTTTTATATTAACTTCGCTTTGGTTCGTGTGTTTCTCTGGGATTTGTGGCAAAAATCTTCAGAGGGCTAGCTGACCCATTTCCCGCCAACCTATCGAGCTGAAACGTCGGCACATGGACTAGTGGACAAATCAGTTTTTCCTTGTTTTCAACGGGAGAGATGAAGGAAATATGACACTGATTTAACGAAATTAAATCTCCGATAACTGCGCTAAATTAGATTCCCAAATATGAGCAATTGGTGCGTAATATTTTCTTTTGTTTCATGGAAATAGTTAGTGAAAGAAATCTGCGGCATAAAAGTGGGTGGGACATTAGACTATTAATATACTTCAGGGGCGTCATAAAAATATGCGGCTGCCAGATTTGTTGTGGTGGTTGGGGGTCTTGGGGGGGGGGGGTTTTGGGGGGGGGGGGGAGAGCACTATTAGGGATTCTTATACAGTGCGCAACTTGAATTCATGTTTTGTCAAATTTAAAGGCCCCCCCCCCGCCCCCCAACTCCCATGGATTAATATTAAATTTTATAAAGGATTTATACGAATTTTTAAAAATTGGTTGATTAATTGCCTATTACGTCATATAAGTGAAGTACATTATTCTAATTCTAACTTCACAAAGTAAAGAACTTGGTCACATAACATCGAAACTATAAATAGAACACCCAGGCATACAATCTGGCCAATCTCTTTATGTTATTATTTAAACATCCTGGTATTCCGTTTGGCCAATCTCTCAACAGCTGTTCGGTACTCCTACGTTAATGTGGGTCGGCGTAGTGGGTCTTTAACCTAGACGAAAACGTGTTGAAAACGTGTTGACGAAAACTTTATTTTACGAACGATTTTACGAACAGATAGTCACTGCTATAAAAGGGCGGAGATACATTGCTAGAAGCCACGTTTTACGAAAACATCGTCTAAAAATAGTGGCATTACGTAATGCCATGTGACGTTTTCCGGCCTTAGAAATGACAAACGCTATACTGAAAGTCCTGTATCATAATATGACCTAACACACACATGCGTTTTCTATTTGTTATTCCACACAACACTCCAACCTTGTTCGTCAACTCCACCATTTTATTTACCGTGGCTTACCACCCAACGATAGTTTAAAATAACAACCACAACAACACTCACCAATGTTACACCGGCCTTGTGTCAGCAGGAATTAACACATTTCTTTGCCATCTTATTCCACACAACGACATCTCTCTCCCTCCCCCCCCCACCCGTGTTCCCAGACTGAGGTACGTCAACCGTAGAAAACAACTGAACTGGTGGAGAATCAACCAGGAAGAGCTCCAGCCGATGAAGAATCTGGTCACACGATCTGTCTTCTCGTCATTTCTTCGGCAGGTTCGTCTTCTAAAATTTTTACCTACGACTCCACCTAATAACACTTGACCATAAACTTCTTGAGACACTTTAAAGATTGTGAAAAGGTCAACACCATCCACCCCCACCCCACCACTACACCCCCCCTGACACAAGAAACTATAATGGTAGCAAAATTGACCCCCTGCCCCCCCCCTCCCTGGTGTCAATAAAATAAAAATTTGGAGTGTTTTTTCAATATTTTATTTTATCGGAATAATAAATAAAAAAAAAAGCTGAAGTCTTAAAGAAAAAAAAACGTGGCTGGTTTGGAGAGTTTTGCTCACGCGTCAGCTGATACGGGGGTTTTAACCATAACGTGTCGTACATTGTGTCCATTTCAGAGCAATACCAACACTATGGACATGCACCTGCACGGAACAACCCTGTTTACGTACAAGGTTAGTATTGAAACTTTCTGTCGCGTCGCAGGCGTTGCCGGAACTTTCATTGTGTCGATGTCATGCCGCTCGCGGGACTCCATCTCCGGGTTTGAGTTTAGAATTTTCCTTCTCTTAGATGAGGTTCTCGTCCACCCCCGGGGGTGATGCTTTTTTTTCCCTCTTGTCATGGCAATTGCTTGGGATCGATCGTCAGTCCACAAAATTGGTATTTACTTCACTTTGGACCGCTCGGCCACCCAGCATCAATTCAATTACTAGCAAGTTAACGCTGAAACATCAAATTAATAATTCAGTTTAAAAAAAAAAGGACACGTTTTTTTAATTAGAGCAAGCAATCATTATTTGAATTTAAAAAAAAAAAAAGGAAACAACAAAAAAGTTCCCTCTGTCTGAAAGGGAGGTAAATAAGAGCACTGGGGTAAACAGATTTCAATCCATCATTCTCCATGGGACTGAACTCCGGTTTAGTTTTATCGTGTGCAGTGGGACGAAATGATTGATACCCTTAAAACTAATCTCACGTAACTCCATTTCATCGACGGGTTGTACTTTGTTCAGCGTTTAAATGCGTTGACCAACACAGCCAGCGCTGTGATAATGCCCAGAAACAAATCTCACCGATATTATTTTACTTATATCTTAAAGGAGAACGGATGTTCAGGAGTGTAAAACCCTTTCTTAATGTTTGTTGCTTTTAATTTCGAATGTAACGGGAAGGGGAAAATTCATAGATCTAAGCTATTTCAAATATCCCGCTATTTGACACTCAAGCTTACTTAGATTTTTTGTCCGACGCTGGGGGTTGTTAAAGTCTCACACTTCAACTTCTGATAAATGTGATATGCTGTCTTCGGTCACTGGCAAGTTTTTTCAGGGGGTGTTGATGGCCCTCTTTAAAAGACAGATGAATTAGCGGCACTATATCCACTTAAAGACTCTTACTAAGTCACGAGATTTGTCATCATTTCCCACCATGTCACGTATCGTCCCAATCATTTCACACCATGCCACTTATCGTCCCAATCATTTCACACCATGCCACTTATCGTCTAAATCATTTCACACCATGCCACTTATAAGGTGCGACGGGACACAACGATTTCCTTCCGTTGAAATGCGCCACGTGATCTCTGTTTATCCAAGCACTGAAAAAATGATTATTACCGTATCCTTTCCGGTTTCCTGGTCAATGTTCATCTTTTCTTGTTGCTTCTTGTTTTTTTGTAAATCAGGGTAACTTGGTCCGACGTCACAGCCTGAAGGAAGTTGATTTTATTGTCAACAACGCTCTTCTGAGGGAGTTTGAGGAGGTAAGAATGCCACAATCCTGAATTGGTCTGATATCTTCTGAGGGAGTTTGAGGAGGTAAGAATGCCACAATCCTGAATTGGTCTGATATCTTCTGAGGGAGTTAGAGGAGGTAAGAATGCTACAATCATGAACTGGTATGATATCTTCTGAGGGTGTTTGAGGAGGTAAGAATGCCACAATCCTGAATTGTTCTGATATCTTCTGAGGGAGTTTGAGGAGGTAAGAATGCCACAATCCTGAATTGTTCTGATATCTTCTGAGGGAGTTTGAGGAGGTAAGAATTTCAACATCCTGAATTGGTCTGATATCTTCTGAGGGAGTTTGAGGAGGTAAGAATGTCATGAAAATGGCCTCATCAGGGCATCAAGTGTCTCAGACGGGGAGCTAACTCCGGGAATCCTTGTATCATTAAGAGTGGTTCCCGCGGAGTCGACTTACTAACATACATTTATGTATTTAATTATTTTTTTTTTTTAATGCAAGTGTTTGAAAATAAAAATGGTTCATCACTGATTATTGCATAAAAATTCAGTTCTATGAATTAATTTTGATTTAAATTAGTTATTGCTGGTAGTGACTTTATGACATGCCAATAGAAATTTTCTGAAACGTTAAATGGAACTGATAAACTAATTTGGAGACATGATGGTCTCTCTATTATTTCTGTCCTTTACTAGGGATCAAGATCAAAAGTGTAACTTCATGAGCACCGCCCTTTACGTGCTTTTTAATAATTTTTTTATAATTTAGTGAAATCTTTTAAAATATTAAAATGTAAGGTTCAGAGCGCACCGCCGCTGAGAAGATTGCATTCGTTATATTGTTTGAGTGATACATTTTAATATTACGATCAGATTCGCGACATCAGCCATCCTAACCTACTGCGCGTGGTGGGGGCCTGGCTCGAGGGAGACAAGAAAGTCATCATCACGGAGCATTGTCCCAAAGGCTCCCTTCAGGTAAATCCATCCTCAGGTACCAGTTACTCTTTCATACAAGTGGTACTCAACACTCACACATGATATAAGACACTCACTTATCTCGGAAGGCACCGATTGTCCCAAAGGCAATGTTCAGGTAAATGAATCCCCAGGTAACAGTTATCCTTTCGTGCGTTTGGTACGCCACACTCATACATGATGTGAGACACTCACATATCTCCGATGGTACTGATTGTCCTAAAGGCAATCTCTTCCGTTGAACTCAGCAACCGTCTCACACAATACTACCGATTCCTATCTGATACACACAATGGCGTAGAAAGGAGGGGAGCGAAAGGACAGCCCCTAGGCAGCTTAATGTTTCCTTTATATAGAGGGGCTGAATTTTCGGCCAACTAGCGATTTTGTTTTTTTTTGGCGGGAGGGGTCAGAAAAAAGCTTGGCTCGCCCCGGGCGGCAATAACGCTTACTACGCCCCTGGATACATAGTAACATTATTCAATTCATGTAAGAAATTTTATTTCGCTCTCACATAATTAATTAATCAGAGCCTAAAGCGCCAATTCTTACAATGATCACTGCATAGCTTCACGGCTATTCGTAACGACGTATCACTTGAAAAAAAAAAGCTTTTCATGCAAGATCCGATATATGCAAGTTTTATTATGTTATTTCAAATTATTAATTAATATTCCAAAATACCCACCTGCTTATACAACGCAGATTTATTTCACCAACTTTTTCATTAAAAAATATTACGAACCAAACGCACCTGCGATATTTTACGAATCTAATTTAGCGCATTCATCGGGAATTTTTGCTTTCGTGAAATCATGTCATCATATTTCCTTCATCATCTCTTGAAACAACTTTTTTTGGGGGGGTTGGAGTAGAAGATTTGAAAGAATATGTTGTCTTCGGCAACGAGTGTATGTGCCAAGTTTCAGCGCGATAGGTTGACGGGAAGTGGTTCAATCAGTCTGCCGAAGATTTTGCCCCACAGCCAGCCAGGAAGAAAGAAAAACATAACAAGGGCGAAGTTAGTGTAAAGGATTTAAAAACAAAAACAACAAACAAATTAAAAAAACTAAAAAAAAAAAAATACTTATTTAAATCATAAATTGGAACATTTTTAGGACTCCTTGCTTTGTAAGAAGTGCTTATATTATAGTGTGTATTTCAGAAACGTTTATATTTTTCAATGTGTTTTGGAAAGTTGATATTTAACTTTTTTTTAATCACAGGAAGTATTAATGGATGACTCATTCAAGCTTGACAGTGTGTTTTCCCTGTCTATCCTCAGTGACATCGTACAGGTACGCAGTGGGTTTTGTAATCGGCTCCATTGGAAATATTTCACGCCTATAATTTTTAAGTTGTAGCTCTGATTGCCCTTTGGGAGTAAAAATCCTCACTGCCTTCATTTTGGCGAGCGCTTTCTATAAGCGATATTGTTTGGAGAGTTTTGTCAATTTCAATATCTCGGCGCCAAAATTTGTCAATCTACCACTGATTCTGTAGAGCTGAACTTCGGCAAACGGATTGGATGAACTCTGGCGTATATCTTTAGCAACAGAATCTTAGCGGGGGATCAATTATTTACAACTTGAGAAATATACATTTAGAATAGTACATACTTCATTGTTTAACATTGATTTGTGAGCAGGAACAACTGCGGTGCCCTATGCGAAAGGGATTGCGCGGGGCCCAGTCTGGGTAGGGATAAGGATATTAAGTGAACAATTAAGATTTTGTATTAGAAAATAAGTTCTTCTTTGCATTTTATTCATTCTTTACTAAGTACAAAATCACGATCAAATTAACTTTACTTGACGAGCCTTGCGTGTAGCGAAGTCATACAGTATAGCATCAAAATTCTGTTTCCTACATAGATCACGCTCAGTAGCAAGAGTTGCCAAATTTTGCAATCTATCTTCGTGAATTGTTTACCTTAATTAATTCTGATTTTCTACGATTATTTTAAAAGTTGCGATTTTTTTCGCTGTAAAAAATGGCTTTCGAAGCCTTGGATACAATTTTGAAAGAGCTTAGGCCTAATGAAGCTTCTCTATTTCATACATCTAGCAGCGATAGTGAAGGGTCTGATAGAGACATTAATTTCAATGATGCTACTAGTAATAGTGATTCAAGTGAAGAAGATAATGCTAATAGTGGCGACATCGATGACAACGGACCTATCGATTCCACTCCAACTGATCAGCAAGATCATGAGTTGTCTGGGAATTTTTCTCAAATCAAAGTGGGAGGGTCCCTGAAACTGTTTTTTGGTGCAACTATTGCTTTAATAATTTCTTTGTATTTAGGTATTTTTCTTTTCTTTTCTTGCTTTTAGTTTATTTTCTGTAAATTAATTAGATAAAGAACCTTCATTTAAAATGGAGTTATGTCCCTTTGCTTGGTCGCTGGGAGTAGACAAGGCTGAATAGGCTTGGACTGTAAAGGGTTTAGAGCGGTGTCTGTTTCATCTTACCCCAAGTTCCCCTAAATGACGAGTTTAGAGATAAAGCACCCGAGCAGCTATAATTTTTTTTTCAATTTTATTTACTTGTAATCACTTGAAACAACGACGTAATAGATTAAGAAATACTGTAAAACATAAAATAGAATAAACTCGCTGACATATACATGATTATAAGTTATAATGGTTTAATTTAATAATTTACACCTAGAATTATCGCGGGGCCTATGAAAGTGCGGGGCCCACTGCGGCCGCATAGGTTGCAGTGGCCTAAGGCCGGCCCTGTTTGTGAGATGAAAAAAAATCCACAACATTTGAATATGTCGCTAAATTCAGCCCATTCTTTGTTTAGTCGTGGCAGTGAAGACTTCAGGGCGGAATTGTAGAGACAGGTCTTACCATACTAATATAAAACAAAAGGTTCAAATAGTGTTTGTTTCTCAACAGTGCTGCTAGGATTAAATACATATTAAAACGGCGCTCACAGAAAAAAAAAAAAAAAAATTATTTCAAACTTTATAAAAATTATAAAAAATTTAGTTATTCTTATTATTTTTTTTTCTTCCTACAAAGGCCATCACCTACATCCACAAACATCCCATCCGTGTCCATGGGCGGCTCACGAGTGATGTCTGCATGGTTGATTCACGTTTCTCAGTCAAAGTCGGGCAATACGGCCTCCCGACTATCTACGACTTTATACGACTGGAGGGCAAAGAACACAGCATGGAGAGAGGTGAGCCCAAAGTCTGAAGTTCATTATAGGGGGGGGGGGGAAACACAAGTTTCGATGTATTTGTGTAGTGGGAATAACTCCCGACTATCTACGACTTTATACGACTGGAGGGCAAAGAACACAGCATGGAGAGAGGTGAGCCCAAAGTCTGAAGTTCATTATAGGGGGGGGGGAAACACAAGTTTCGATGTATTTGTGTAGTGGGAATATATGTCATACGAGTATGAGTGTATTAAAACTAAACATACGACATACCGTGTCTGCAAATGGTATTTAAGCTGAATTAAATCGTAGTTGCATGACCAATCACAGGCAGTTTGAGGTCTGATTACGGTTCAAGTTCTGGACAGGACAACTCTTGACCTTTTTATTGGTTGTTTTTAGGCCTTAAGTGGATAATATACATAATATACATGAAATACATCAGTACATTATATTAATTATATACATCATAAGGGTGGATGGGACTCGTTAACCTTGGATGGCAACTCCTCTAAGAGAAGGAAACTCTGAATTCAAACTCGGAGATGGAGTCCCGTAGGCAGATAACAATGAAACGTGGTACAATGAAACATTCCGATAACTCCTGCGACGCCAAGCTGTATCATCCACATGATGTTCCCTTTGGTTATCCAGCAGCGTGGAGAGAGGCGATTTGCTGTTGGGAACCAGCTTATAATCCTTGTAGAATAATCCCAGGCCATGTGGATTTCGTCCTCCAAAGCCCACACCATCGTCACATTGTGACGGACGGATGCAAGCAAAAAAAAAAATACATTATAAAATCATAATTTTTAAATACATTTTATACATTATGTACATTATAGATTTCATATTATATACATTATATAAGTCGTATGCATCATATACATTATATATTCTACATAAATTATATAAATAATAACATTATGTACATTATTAATTCACAAACATTATACAAATGATATCCACTATATACATTATATAAATTAAATACATTATATACATTATAAAAATCATATACATGTACTTTATATAAATCGTCTTTCACATTTTAAAATAAAATAGTAAAAATACAAATATCACACATTGTAAGAAAAAAAATTAAATTCCCTAAAATTTTAACATAGCTTATCAAATACAAAATTAAATTAGAAGGATAATCACTTTTGAATTAAAAGAAAAAGCTCGATAACGAAAAGGAAATGGAATGCTCTCCAAGCAAGTTATCAAAGAACATTGGCAAATCTAACCCGCCTAATCAATCAATGTTACCATCGTCTCACGCATTAGTTTGTATTTAGTAATCAGGAGTTTGGTGAATTATTATTTTTACAAAAAAGCAAAACCTTATCGTTTTTTTAATTTATTTTTTTTAGCTAAAAGGAGGTCTGCGCTTTGGTAAGGGGTGGGTATACACACATCGAAAATGGGAGCCGAGCCAACCGTGTGATATTTTGTTGATCTGAATAAATTTAAACTTTACAATTAATTTTCAGCCATACTCTACATAGCGCCAAGCGATAATTTCGTCGTTAATTGACTTAACCCTCTCTGAATCTCACGTTTCCAGCTTTACATGCTATCGACTTCTTATATAATACGTTAAGTTATTAAAACTATTTCCAAGATAAATTTTGGGTCGCCCCTGAACGACTGAGGAGTGGAGGCAAAGCTACTCAAGAGGGTGACGTCTACAGCCTGGCCATCATCATGGCAGAACTGTTAACAAGGGAGGAGCCGTACAGACATGATAATGATTTCTTAACCGTGCAAGGTAATCTCGGTGTGTTCTGACCTCATTAAAGTATGATCTTTGACTTTTTCAAATTTAACCAAATGATGGTAAAAATATTTCAAATCAAACACAGGAAAATAAAATTCCCGATAACTGTACTAATTTAGATTCTTAAAAAAAAAATATCGTAAGTGCGTTTGGTGCATAACATTTTCTTTTGTTCGCCTGAAATAATTGGTGAAATAAATCTGCGGTGTAGAAGCGGATGGGTCATTAGAATATTAATAGAGTTCAGGGGCGTGGTAAAAATGTGCGGTTGGGAGCCTTGTGTGTGTGTGTGGGGGGGGGGTGAGTACTAATTGGGATCTTTGTAAAGTGTGTTACTTGAATGCATGTTTTGTCAAATTTTCAGCCCCACTCCATTTCCTCGATATTACATTTTATAAACGGGTTTTCCTAATCTCACAGCCAACTGAACGCTAAGTTCTTAAATCTCTCTCTACCCTTAAAAACAAAATCAGAGGTCCTGGATAAGATCCTATTGTGTCAAGATCCCCCATTTCGCCCAGCAGTTACAGCACCCCCAGACCTGATCCCGTTGGAGACACTCATGAAGCAATGCTGGGACGAAAACCCACAGAGGAGACCCTCTCTCAATAGGATATCTCGCGTTCTGCATGGGTTGATGATGTAAGCTTTAAGTCAGTCAGGTTCCTAAAGAAAGGGTCAACAGAAATAACGGTCTGTATTATTTGAAGAAATCTCATATTAACTTATTTTGGCATCAGAGCGCTTCAAGCAAGCTAAAGTAGCATGGGCTCAAGCGCTATAAAGGTAATCAATAATCATCAATAACTCACGCAATTTTCACCAAAATGGTTGAAGATTTTCAAATGAAAAATTCAATGATTCCTGGACACAGTATTTGCCAATTTAAACAAAAATATGTTCTCTGGTGCATTTAAATTGACAAAACAGATCTTTAATTTATATATTACTTTCAAAGCTATAAACGTTTCGTTGTAATAGAAAAATCAACAAGTCTGGCAGTCTGCTGGACAACCTGCTCCAGAGGTTAGAAAAGTACAGCAGCAACTTGGAGAAAATTGTGGACGAGAAAGTAGATGAACTCAAACAGGAGAAACAGAAATCTGAGGAGCTGCTCAGACAAATGTTGCCCATGTAAGTGTTTCATTAGCATGATGTCTGCTCAGACGAATGTTTCATATGCAAGTGTTTAAATAGCACGATGCCTGCTCAGACGAATTTTGCCAATGTAAGTGTTTAATTAGCATGATGCCTGGTTAGACGAATGTTTCATATGCAAGTGTTTAAATAACATGATGTCTGCTCAGATATACGTTGCTATGCAATAATAACGTTTAAATAGCATGATGTCTGCTCATAGAACTTTTGTCCATGCTATAGTTTGAAATGACATGATTTCTGTCCAGACCAATATTTTAAGACAATGTCTTTCAACAAACACCTGGGACAACACGAATGATTTGTAACTTATTCCAACGGTTCAAAAAATCTTCTTAATTCCACAGGTGGATTTTTTTGCAATATGTATGAAATAATTTTATCAATGCTCTCTTGAAAAAAAAAATCAAAATAATTTCATAAAAGGCCATTCAGTAAAGATATAACGGGAGTTAAATATAATAATCATTACGAACATTTTGTTTCAAACCTTAATTTAAACCATATTCATCTCTTGTGTTTGTTCGCTTTTTTGTAAAAAAACACACTTTTTGAGGATTTCTCATGTATCCATCACTGGGGCGCTACAGCCCATGTAGGGCTTTGGCCTGCCTCGCCGCTTCCTTCCACTCAGACCTAACTGATGCCTTTTTGTTCCATGCTTGCATTCTCAGCTGCTGTAGATCTTTTCCCCACATTATCCATCCATCTAACCTTCGCTCTTCATTGGAGCCGTTTTCCTCTGGGGTTTTTGGTGATGTACCCTCTTCACGCCTCTGTCATTCGGCATTCTTTCTACGTGTCTCGCCCAGCGTACCGGCCCCTTTTTTCTTTCTATCAATACCGTGGGTTTCTGATATAGACTAAACAATTCCTGGTTGGTTCGTATTCTCCATCTATATGCATTTTTTGGTACTTATATTTTCTCAGCAAATGGTAAATATTAAAAATTATGGTGAATATACAATCTTTATGAGAATTTATTCTAATCAGACCGGTCGCTGACAGACTGAAAGCCGGGCTGACCGTTGAGCCAGAGTTCTACGACTGCGTGACCATTTACTTCAGCGACATTGTCGGCTTCACGACAATCTGCTCGGAGCTGAAACCTGTCCAGATCATCAATCTGCTGAACGACCTGTATTCGTGTTTCGATGAGATTATCGGCCACTACGAGGTCTACAAGGTGAGGCCACCATTTCCTTCAAAGTCTTCTTCCGTTTTTGTGTTGGAGCGTCTCACAGAAGTCTGCGAATCAAAAACTATTTTATCAACATAAACTACTAAGTTCTTTCAAAATGGCGTCGTGAACGGCTCGTGGGGCTACTTTTTTAAAATCATTTATATTAACTTCGCATTTGTTCTTGAGTGTGTGTGTGTGTGCCTGGCTGGCAAAAATCTTCGGATATCTAACTGACGCACTTCCCGTGAAGCTATTAAGCACATAGACTCGTTGCCCTTGACACATTCTATCAAATGTCCAGCCCAACCCCCAACTCCAAACCGCCAAAATCAATTTTACCTGTTTTTTTTTTCTTCAGGGGAACATGACGGAACATTCCCAATAACTGCGCTCTAAAATAGATTCTTTAAAAAAAAATATATCGCAAGCGCATTTCGTGCGAAATATTTCCTTTTGCTATTCTGAAATAATTGGTGAAATAAATCTGCGATGTAAAAGCGGATGGGTCATTAGAATATTGATAGAGTTCAGGGGCGTGGAAAAAATGTGCGGTTGCGAGCCTTGTGCTTGGGGGGGGGTGGGGGGCCTAATTGGGATTCTTATAAAGTGCGTTACCTGTATGCATGCTTTGTCAAATTTTCAGCCCAACCCCCCATTGCTCGATATTGCATTTTATACAAGATTTACACGAACAGCTATGTTTCTTGGGGTTGTTTATTGATTTGTTCAAATTAAATCCTTTATATAAACTTTGCCTGTATTTGTGCGTTTCTGGCTGGCAAAATTTTCTGACGGCGAACTGACCCACTTTCCGTCTACCTAACAAGCTAAAACTTAGCACATAGACTAGTTCCCGATGACGGTACATTCTATCAAATTTTCAGCCACGACCCCCAACTCCACAAAAAATATTTTTTCCCCCATTTGTCAAGTGGAAGAAGACGGAAATAATGATGACCCTGATTCGACGAAATAATATTCCCGATAACTGCGCTTAATGAGATTCTTAAAAAATACATGTGCGTAATATTTTCTTTTGCTATTCTGAAATAGATGGTGAAATAAATATGCGGTGTACAAGTTGACGTTATATTAGAATATTGATATAGTTCAAGGGGGTGAAAGAAATGTGTGGTTGCGGGCTTTGATTTTTTTTTGGAAAAGGGGGGGGGGCGGGGTGGGGGTGGGGCGCAGCAGTAATTAGGATTCTTATAAAATGCGTTACTTGTAGGCATGTTTTGTCAAATTATCAGCCCCAACCCCCATTGCTCGAAATCGCATTTTATAAAGGATTGATACGAAAATCTTTCCTTTTAGGGGTTGTTCAATATAAACTTTAAAAAACCTCTTTCAGTGGGCCAATATGACTTATAGTAAAAAAGGACAAAACCCACCTCTCACAACATAATCATTTAGTTTAATCAACAAAAGTTTTAATCATATAAAATACCATTGATCAAAGTGGAGTTAATTTTACAAAATTCAGTCACATAAAATACGGAAACAATGAAATGATTTGATTAGAAAAAAATAAAACATTGCCATCCTCCAGGTAGAAACTATCGGTGATGCCTACATGGTCGTCTCGGGACTGCCCAATAGGAATGGCAACGAGCATGCGCGTCAGATTGCCCGGATGTCGCTGGCCCTGCTGAATGCCGTATCAACTTTTACACCCATCGAAACATCAGAGGACCGGCTCAAGCTGAGGATTGGGCTCCATTCAGGTTTGACTAAGGGCACCGTTGGATTCCTAGAATTTTTATCGTGGATTTTGTGCTGTTAGCATAGAGGGTAACGCAAAATGTGCAAAGTTTTTTTTGTGTGTGTGACATTCCCCAGGTCCAGTGTGTGCCGGCGTGGTCGGTCTGAAGATGCCTCGCTATTGTTTGTTTGGAGACGCTGTCAACACGGCCTCAAGGATGGAGTCTAATGGAGTAGGTGAGATGTCATGTTACATTGTGGAGTAGGTGAGATATCATGTTACATAATAGGTGAGATGACAGTTATCTACTTGAATAGGTGAGATGACAGTTATCTATTTGAATAAGTGAGGGAAGATGTTATCTAATACCGGTAACGTACGGTATACATTTTTTTACGTTTCATCAAAAGTTGAGGAAATATTAAAACAATTTTCTCATTTGATCATTTATTTTCTACATCGGAAATGTCCATATCTCAAAAGTCCATATCTAAATGTCCATATGTTTATCTCAAAAGTGCACATGATTATCCCAAAATGTCCAAAAGATTATCCCAAATGTCCACATGGTTATCCCAAAGGTCCATATGATTATCCCAAATGTCCACATGATTATCCCAAATGTCCACATGATTATTCCAAATATCCATATGTTTATCTCAAAAGTCCACATGATTATCCCGAAATGTCTATATGATTATCCCAAATGTACAAATGGTTATCCCAAAGGTGGATATGATTATCCCAAATGTCCACATGATTATTCCAAAGGTCCATATATTTATCTCAAAAGTCCACATGGTTATCCCAAAGGTCCAAATGATTATCCAAAATATCCACATGATTATTCCAAAGATCCACATCATTATTCCAAAGGTCCATATTTTTATCTCACAAGTTCATATGATTATACCAAATGTCCACATGACTATCCCAAAATGTCCATATGATTATCCCAAGTGTCCACATGATTATTCCAAAGGTCCATATGGTTATCCCAAATGTCCACATGATTATTCCAAAGATCCACATGTTTATCTCAAAAGTCAACATGATTATCCCAAAATGTCCACATGATTATCCCAAATGTCCACATGGTTATCCCAAAGGTCCATATGATTATCCCAAATGTCCACATGATTATTCCAAAAGTCCATATGATTGTCCCAAATGTCCACATGATTATCCCAAAGGTCCATATGTTTATCTCAAAATTCCACATGATTATTCCAAAGGTCCATATGATTATCCCAAATGACCCCATGGTTATCTCAAAGGTCCATCTGTTTATCTCAAAAGGCCTCATGATTATCCCAAAATGTCCATATGATTATCCCAAATGTCCACTTGGTTATCCCAAAGGTCCATATGATTATCCCAAATGTACACATGATTATTTCAAAGGCCCATATGACTATCCCAAAAGTCCATATGATTATCCCAAAAGTCCACATGATTATCCCAAAGGTCGACAGGATTATCCCAAAGGTCCATATGATTGTCCAAAATGTCCACATGGTTATCCCAAAGGTCCTTATAATTATCTAAAATGTCCACATGATTATCCCAAAGATTTACATGATTATCCCAAAGGTCCATATGATTATCCGAAATGTCCATTATTTCAAAAGTCCATAGTTTTATCCCAAATTTCGAAGGTCTAGCTAGCCGTTTTACATTGTCCCTTTTTCTTCGCTTTTTCGCCTACTATATTTTTTACCACAATAAAAAGGGATAGTACTCAAGATGTTCGTTTTGTAAGCTAAGTTAAAACTGTATTGCCCAACCACCAACAACTCGGCACATGGCTACATTTATATTCCGTGTATACATCTACATGTTTTTTTTGTTTTAAAAAAAAAAAAAGTTACTTTTGATTCCTCAGAACTGAAAATTCACATCAGTGGAACCACGGCTGAAATTCTGAAAACATTCGGCACTTTTCGAATCAAGTCACGTGGGTCTATAGATATCAAGGTGAGAGGCAAGTCGTTGTTCTGTCAATTTTGAGAGTCATCTTTAGCAAAAAAAAAAAAAAAAAAAAAAAAAAAAAGTTAGATGTAATGTATTTTAATTAGTTGATATCAGTTTGACATGAGAGTCAAGTAATAAAATGCCTTTACGTTCTTTGCACGAAGAAGGAAAGTCTGCTCGAAAAAAAAAAAGAGATAAAAATATTTTTAAAAATATTATTAAAAGAAATATCAACAAGAAAGTTTGGAGGTACATCTAATTATCGATTTATTACTGTTTGATTATCTCGCATTCAAATGGAAAGTTTAAAGGGTTATTGGTTCACACTAGGCACAAGAACACTGAAGTATACCTTACACATGTTTAAAAAAATGTATTTTTTGTTGAAGACATGCAACTTCTAAAGGCATCTGACTTGTTAAAATTTAAACAACCCCTAAACCCAACGTTTTTCTTGTACATCTGTTACAATGTAACTGACATGCATTTTTTAAAATTATTTATTTTATGTTAATAATATTATTCCAATGTCCAAACCCGATTTTTAGACCGCAGATTTATTTCAACAACTATTTCAGAAAAAAACAGAATAAAATATTACGCACCAAACGCACTTGCGAGATTTTTACGAATCTCATTGAGCGCAGTTATCGGGAATTTATTTCGTGAAATCAATGACGTCAAATTTCCTTCATCTTTCCTTCGACAAACGGGACTACGAATTGTTTTTGTTGTTGACGGTTGGGGGATGGGGCTGAACATTTGAAACGAGTCTATGTTTCAAGTTTCAGCTCGATTGGCTGACGGGAGGTGAGCAATTAGCCGTCCAAAGATTTTTGCCACCCACCCAAAACAGAAAGAAACACATGAATAAAAGTGAACTTAACATAAAGGCTTTAAAAAAAAAATATCCCGTTTGATAACCCATCCGTCTCATCAATAATGCTCTATGTATTTTGTTAAGCCTTTCTTTCTTTTTTCTTTCTCCTAGGGTAAAGGGATCATGGATACTTTCTGGCTGCTCGGTGAGGAGGACTGAATGATGTGATCATTATGTGGCCACCGAGGAACCAGCTCACATCTCTGTTTCGTCCCCAACTGCACGGCTGACATTTAGTGTACAGATTAGCCTTAAAAGGAGTCTCTTTACGTATCAACACATTGGCCATGCTTCTCATTAACCTAGTCCAAAATATGTCGTTTGCAAATTTTCAGTCGAGAGAGAACCAAATGGCAGCATACAATAAACAACACTGAAATATTGATATTTATGGATATCAATTTCATTTACTTCTCCTGCTATCCAGCAATCCAGTATTTACACATGCCTTTTGCGGTTTTGAAAGCTGGACCCTGTGAGTGCTGAGAATCAAAATTATTTTCATGTATTTCTTGTTATTTACACATTTATGATTCCCTTTTAAACTTTTAATTATAGAACTTTCAATTATAGAATTTATCACTTGATCTGAAACTGCGTTAAATATTTTTCAAGTATGGGTCTGCTCTGATGTTGATTTCGTTATCAGAGAAAGGGGACAGTACTCACGCCATCTTGAACGTAAAGCAAGGGCTATGGAATACTTGCTTGTTGTGTACATACGGTGCCTAAATAAGATATTGGCGTTGATATACGAAGTTTGAAAAAAACACCAAAAACCTGGAAAGCTAGAGTAAGTCTAACAAATCGTGTTTATTTCAATTTAATCTACATGAGATGGAGTGAATACAGGAGTAATAAAAAATATGAAGAAAATAAGTGCAGGGTGATCTCTTGTTTGTTGTAATCTGGAGTTTGTATAACATCACTCACAAAACAAAGTAAGCTACGATGATCATTTAATATTAACAATGATTGACTCGATGTTCACGATCTGTTCGTAAAAGCAATGAAGAATTTAGAATGCACTACTTGACTCTTTCTCTCTCCCCCCCTTCCCCCCCCCCCCTTCAAAAAGAACACTTACAAAAACGTGAAGCATGGCCTGTTATTTTTTCTGTAATTTACAACACACCTGCACTGCATTCAAAAGCAATGAAGAATTTAGAATGCACTACCTGACTCTTTCTCTCTCCCCCCCCTCCCCCCCCCCCCTTCAAAAAGAACACTTACAAAAACGTGAAGCATGGCCTGTTATTTTTTCTGTAATTTACAACACACCTGCACTGCATTCAATTGAACTTAAAGTCTATCTAAAAGCGTCGGTGGGGTCATCACTCTAAAAGCGCCCATATGGTCGAAAATTTAACCATTTAAAAAAAAAACTAGTTACTGTTCCCAAACATCCTCCTTGTATCACCTTGTATCACCTTGTATCACCTTGTGTCACCTTGTATCACCTTGTATCACCTTGTATCGTCTTGACATGAAGGTAAATTTGATGACAACCGTTAAAAAAAAAAATTGAAAAAGAAAAACGAACGAAAGAAAAAAACTTGAAAAAGTGCAACTATTTTTTGTCGTCGACTGTTAAGATTCGGTCAACATATTATACACAAACACTGATGTGATGTATGAATCCTCTTTTGATTCACATCTCTCTCTCACGGTCGATGGCGTTACGTTACAGCTGGCCGAACACATTCTCCAGTTTGGCACAGATGTCAGGCTCTGTGTCAGCAACAGTCACCATCCTAGAGAGAAAGTTAGAATAAAACCCGTTTCAGAATCAGATCGTTTAGGACTGGGCGTCTGTTGTGTGGCATCCCATCAGATAATGAAACCAGCGACATTTCATTTATGTCACCACTACACACGGTGATACTGTTTACGAAATGATTTACTTCCTCTGTAGATTTGTACACGTCCTAAAATAAGGATAGGGATTTGGTCAAGTCGGCTTCGGACGTTATGATTATCCATAAAAATCCGGTAACTCCGTTCGAACAAAAAGCAAAAAGTCTGTTCCAAAAAGCCAACGAACACTCAAGGACTGAACAGCTATCCTGACCTACCCCCCCCCTCCCCAATGATACACTTCAGAACCTAGCAGCTATCCTGACTCCACAATGATACACTTCAGAACCTAGCAGCTATCCTGACCCCACAATGATACATTCCAGAACCTGGCAGCTATCCTGACCCCACAATGATACACTCCAGAACCTGGCAGCTATCCTGACCCCACAATGATACACTCCAGAACCTGGCAGCTACCCTGACCCCACAATGATACACTCCAGAACCTGGCAGCTATCCTGACCCCACAATGATGCACTCAAGAACCTAGCAGCTATCCTCACCCCACAATGATACACCGAACACTTTGCCACGGACCAATTTCGGGTCAC